GATGAGGGCTTCAGGAGTCTCCTTGCGTCTATTTCTTGGGATTCGCTGGTTCCAGGTGAAACTTACAGGGAATTAATGACGAGGAGAAGGCCTAGGGATACCGAACTTGTTAAATTGTGATGTAATTCTAGAGCGCCGGGGCAGATGTCGGAAGATTGATGATTGGAACAGTTAATTTTGGCTTCTCTAGGCGGTTGAGCCGGTTGTTTATGGGATTTAGGGGGCTACGGGTTTGGTTTTACCGAGCGCGAGGGGAGTGTTGGTATTCTTTTAGGGGGTGAAACGTGGCAGTGATTGGATTAGCTGGATATCGAGTTGGAAACGTTTTTCGTGGGAGAAGGGTTGCCTTCCAGGCTTTCACTGGCAAGGATTCTTTCGTTTCGCCGGTATCCCATAAATTCCTGAATGACCGGGCCAGACGGCTATCTCGATCATTTCCTTTGAAATCTCCTTCGCGAAAACAATACCGATCGGCGTAGCCGTGGAATTTTCGCGACGCCCCTAATCAGATTTTCGTTTAATAATTAAACTGCGCATGTTCGCACTTTTATGATCGCTTTTATGATCAATACAACGAACGCATCTGATCCCCGACGTAATGGCGGAGCCTGAAATTGCTCGGCCGCGGTACGCGTGCGTTTTTTCCCCCCATCGCGCGCGCGTGTGCGTGCTTGTTTTGTTTTTTCCTTTTTTTTTACCTCGTTCACCTGGTATATTTCGGTAGCAACGAGAAACTGATTACCAACAGTGTCCCAAGCGCGGCCTTGGAACTCCCAAATGTCATACTCGTAAAAAAAGACTATTGTACACCGCGGACTTCCGGGTTATTTATACGAGTTATCTCTTCTCTGAAACCGCGAACCGCGCGCGTGAACGCTTCTGCCGGTGCCGCAATGTTCGCGGCCGGTGACTTATGAGCGATGATAATTCCAGCAGCTTGAGTGCCGCAGCTTTTCATGCGCGACTACTTACCCCGTAACTCACCGTCGTCTCCATCTTTCCCTCTCCCTCTCTTTCCGCGTCGTCTTATCAATGAGTTATACGCGTGGCCCAACAAACAATTAACCCCGAGCCACGCGGGGAGTATCCTTAAGAAATTCCTGGGAGAATCAATTTTCAGCATGTTCGGTTAACACGTCGACTACCATGAGAATGCTGTCTTAGAGGCGAAGATACATGGAAACAGTTACTAATTGGTACCACGATTTTTATATTACACTGTTAACTAGTCACTTAATTTAATAAACAGTTTTAGTCGATGATCTTTTTATTCTATCTATTTTCAAGAAGCAGTCGAAGTTGTCTACTCGTTATCATCATCATAACGAACCTCGAGCAAAGACACTTAACAAAATACTGTATCTTTGCTCATGTGTCCTTTCAAAGGCTACCCCTTTTAGATTCACGCAGTAACGGCCGAAAAATCAGCCTGTTAACTGTTCAATTCGAGAAACTTCCGCGAAGCGTTTATCGATAGTTACGGACACATGCACGCCGCAGAAAAACTTGGATCACGGACGTACGGGGGCCAGAGCCGGCGGTTGTTTCGCGCAAGTTACGCTTAAAGTTGCGCATACGTCCGGTGGGAAATTTGAATTTTGGCCAGTTTTCCTCGATGTTGGCCCAAGGTGGTTCGGTCTCCTATGCGCAGGAATGGGCTATGGGAGCCAATATCACCGGGGTATGGCTCCCACGGGATCACCTCGTCTCTTTTCCACCCCTTTCTCGTATTATACGCATCCGTGTGGCAAAAGGGTCGTACGCGCCCGCGCGCGCGTTCCTAGCCGCCTGCCCCCGGCCCGTTTACCGTGCCCCGTGTATCCCTGACTTCGTTCTGCTCGATCGCTCGAAATCCCATGAAATTTCAATGTTGACCCCTATTAGGGTCCACGGCGCCCGGAATTACGCTGCTGGATTTCGGAGGGCGGACTGATAAAAAGCGACTTAGACAGGATGTACATGGATCGAAGGCATCGGCCTACAGTTAGAATATTTCTTTTTGTTATATACCGGGCATTGTTATCAGAGATATGGAAAAATCACATGAGCTTGCTGTTTACTTTGGTGACTTTATCGTATCTAACTGTATTTTCATTGAATTACTGATGTTTATGTAATTATCCACTTCATCCGTGATTCCGTTTAACTACTGTGAGTAGGATATTTGAGAAAACTGTGACAAATATTGTTTTAATCTTGACTGTGTTTAATTAACACTAGGTTTACGGACGTTTATTGTAGTTGGCATTGTTCCCAGAAGAATTTACTTTCCTACGCTTAGATCTTGGAAATAAGTGATTTAAAGATAGACGATTAGGATACATGTCCGTCTAATCGCCTCGAACAAAATCACCACGAAAGTTTGTCAAGTAATGTTTATAAAATTCAGTACGCGTTAAACGTGTTCCGTAAACGTAGTGTTAACCCCTCGCCTTGCAATATCGTGTCAGACACGAGGCGAACATTTCTAATATGTTGTGTTAAGTTTAAATGAAACATTATTGTTCTTGTTAGGAATTTGTATGGTTTATACTAAATCTAGACATAGAAAAAGCATGTAATATTCTCTTTTACTGCATTATTAACGATAAATAGTTCTAACAAATGCACCTACAAAATTAAATCGTAAGGCGAGGAGTTAAGGACCAGTAGCAGGGTTGGTGATTTTTCAGAGAAAAACGCTAGCTCGCAGAATATCTCGAAGGTGTACGATTTACAAAGTTTTTAAAGGATTTCTCAGCCTTCCTCGAGTTTCCTTGTTACAATAAGATTGACGTTCAGATGCTTTCTGTCGCAGACTACCTTCAAGACGGCAGGCCATCGTCCGTTCAAGGGCCGGACCTAGAGAATCAGAACAGCCTCGACAGCGGTGAGTGATATCGATAATTCTCCCCCTTCCCTTAGAGTCGCACGCGTTTCCTCGCTCTGCGAATGATAACTCGATCGACAGACTCTGAAAATCGAGCTCAAAGAGCCACGATACACCGGGACTCTTAGGCAGCCCTGTGACCCATAAAAATCTCGAAGATCCTAACAAGCGGCGAAGTCTCGGCGATAAAGAGGGTTGCGCCGACTCCCTTCTTGTTTCTCGGCCTCGTGTCCACAAAGAACTAGGGGGTGAATTTTTCAGACGAGCATCAGCTTCGAAGGGTGAGATGCTGGTGGTAGTTAGAGCTGGAGGATTTAGACGCGTTCTTGAGCGATTCGGTGATAACAACGATAGAATTGTAATCAATATATCTATACTATCAGCTGAAAGATTAGACTAATTTGACGAGCTATTGGAAATACACCAGTTAATCTCAGGTAATCAGTAATGATTATATTATGTTATAACACATGAGAACATAGGAGTTTCGACGATAATTGTTTCCAGCATTTGCAACTTTAGTTCTTGACAATTTGGTGAAACTTTTCGTAATTCTCGTGAACATTTAGCAGAAGTTTTTTGATTTGTTACTGGATTATTATTACGGAATGCGAAATTTCTTCCGCGAATGCGAACCGAGCACAACAGGGAAGCATCAAGACCAGTCTTTCGTTACGCTTAAGGTTTTCATCGAGCCCCGGGGACACTTTCAGAATTGACTGCATATTCGGCTCCTACTGTGACCAGTTTCCACGAATTCGACATACGCTTAGGTAATTCGATTACCGGTCAGGTAACAGAGGGCTCAGTTCGGTTTCACTCGGTTTTACTCGACCAATCTCCCAAGTCCATTACTAGACAGAGGAATATTGTCACAGACACAATTAACTATTTCGTTTGATTGATCTAGGACAGTGGTTCCCGTGCGCGGGGATGCGCACGCGTACCCGCGGGACCCTGGTCCTTGCCTCTGAACGCGTAAATTTTATCCTGTTTATCCCTGCCTGGAAATCCTGCATGTTCTCGCGGATAGGGTCGGACTTGGACAATTACCCCAATCAAGTGCCTCTGCCCCTTTCAATGCGTCAAACAATAGAATTGCAGGGCTTAGAAATTTCGTTCGACGAAATTGATTTTGAATTTGCTTTTACAAGTTCCATAATATTCAATTCTGATTCGATTCAAAATAAAATTCAATCGAATTTCAATGTTTTCCACTCAACGACCTAACTTGCGGTTGTCGAATAGTTCTTCAAGAATAGTCCTTAGAAAAACTAAGGACTTCATGAATTTTACAGTAGCAACGATTACAATCATAAAACGATAAATCCCTTAAGACAACGCGATAAACCAATTATCTACACTAATAATACTTTAAAGAAAACTATTAAACTTCTGAATATACAAACACTGATGAACCCATTAATAGGTTCCCGATATATACTTCCTAAAAGTACCGATTAATCAAATTAGCTTTCTGAAATCTTTCTACAGGAGCTCTAAGGGTGCAGCTATTTGAGACTCCAATTATCTTATGATTCAGTTCGCACATTACTACATCAATTTCTACACTAATTCCTCAGAGAAGCATCCGTTGTCCTATTAGTAATCGAGAAAGAAGGATTTAGGAATGCGCCAAATTGACTCGTTCCGTAAGCCTAGCGTTAATATCGCTGGAATACGATTTTCGAAGCGTCTCCGCTTCATTCGCGCGTTCCTCGAAGGATGCCGAAGGAACACAACAGCCGCGGACGCGAGGCGTTTTTAATCGAGAAATCGAGGATGGAAGGACAACCGGAGCCTGTTTGCCGGCCGAGCAAACACCGTGTTCCTCGAGAGCGTAATCGAAATTGCGGCCGGTCGACGAACGAGTTTCCGCGGATCCCGTGATGCGGCCGCGGTGATTCGATTACCGTCGGCCAACACAGAGATTCCAGCTTCTGTGTCGGGGTAGTTCGCTGCGGAGGAAGTTGAGCAGGCTCCCTGGCCCGTGAATAAGACCGAGAGGGTTGGGTTTTGGCCGCCGGCTAACCGGCTGGTCGACGCACTCCTGGGAAGACGCGAATGTGTCCCTTTAGCAGGCGGCTTCCGTGTACCCATACGTGGCAAACGGCTCGCCGATTCAACCCTTTGTTCGTCCTCGGTTCGCGTAATTAGAGAATTTTTCTTCGGCCCGTTCGTCGTGGAACATCTCACCCTAAATACCTCGCCGGAGATATTTAACGCTTTGATTGTTGCTTTGGTAATCTATGGCGTGGTTTATATGTTCATATAACGCTTATCTAAGGGTTGATTATTCTATTTATTAACCCTTTGAACTCTGTAGGCTCCAATATTGCACCAGTTATAATATTAAATATTTTAATGAATTTTAAAGGAACTGCCCTAAAATTATTAGATTTTCCACACATTCAAATCTTGTACTAAGAAGGAAAATAAAAGATTGAAGAAATGTTATAGCATTTCTCATTTTCGCTAAGAATACTATAAAAATTAGTTGCAGTTGCTGATAGATTACAAAACAATCTGGAGTGCTAAGGGTTGCATCTCATCAGAAAATGTTGAATTCTAGCGACGTACTTTTGGAGTGCAAAAGGTTAACTTGAGATATGGAAAATGTTTTCTGTATTTCTCTGATTAATCAATTAAAATTTTAAACAATTTATTATTACTGAAATGTCGTTCTGTGGTATGTAGGTATAAGTTTTGAATAATATTTTGTTAACCCGTTGTCCTACGATTTTATTCTGAACTGTGATGGATCTAAGTACTGTGTTATTAATAGTTTATCGAAAATAGGAGAAAATTCTAGTCTTATTCTATGTCAACGTGTTGTTTAAGGTACAACCATCGATAACAGGAATAGTATGTAATTTACAATCAAACACATTGCGTAATATTTATATTTGTTACATTCTATTTGAAATCTCCACCGAGCTTGCCGCAATATTGTAGAGCAAGGGATTAACGCGATGGATAATGGGAGAAATTTTGGTAGAGTAGAATTTTGATGTAGTTACGGCTAACGTGGTCAGTCGAGAACAACAAATCGACAGTGGTGAAACCGCTGGTAACGTGTCGGTGGCGAAATATATTTAAATGGGAAAAAGTTGGAATACTCGATGAGGAACGAACGTTGAAATGTTTTATTGAATTTGGAATTGCGGCCGGTGGCAGGGGTAGGGGGAGACGGGTAATAATAAATGATGTTGTTTAACTTCGAATGTATCTGACAATTTTAATTAACGGACAGGACCGCGTAAATTTTGTTTATTGAATTCGCCGCGGATAAATCACCATTTAATTATAAGGGAAATCAATGGGATTCAATTAAAAGTCGCGAGCACGCGCAACCGCGATGTTATTTGTTAACGGTGTGAGGGGACGATTTGTGTAACAGAATGAAAATTTTCCGGGGTGGTTTTGTCGGGGGACCGAGCAGGAGATCTTCGTAGGAAACGATCAAGGTATCGGTCGCTGAACGAGTGGGCTTAATGGGATCGGCGTGCACGTGGAAACAGCAGTTTGTGCTCGAGAGTACACAAGGCTCGGCTCGTCGACCGAGCAAACACTTAATTAACCCTTCAAGTTCTCTGCCATCTCCATTCGCGTTCCTCCAGCGTTACGTTCGGTCAGTGAAATAGTGCTTTGAGTTCGATGAATCCGATAAGACTCGTTAAGAGTCCTCGCCGTCTTTCATTCACGACTTCATCAATGGAAATATACTACATTTCTACTATTCACCGCCATCATTTTATTACTATCGCAAATATGTAGTATTATCATCGTTACTAATCCTACTATAGTGTTCTTTAGCATCCTCTAATCTAAAAGGAATCCGAACAACCACTGACGGAAGCTATCGTTTCACTAGACTCCCCATAAATTAAGGATTCAAACGATCAGCAATCGCAGCGCCCGCGTCGCTAGATTCCCTATAAAGCAAAAAGCCTTCGAGCGACCAGCAATCGCAGCAATCGCTAGATTAATCCTAGATCCGCTGTCCAGGCAGGGTTCCAATTAAAGAATCGTCCAACGAGATTGAGAAATCGGCGGAAACGGTAGGGCATCGCGAATCGACATAGGTCCCGGCGGACTCCCCCGGATTCGCCGGGATCCCAATCTCTTAGGCGGGTCGCATCTTTTTGGTCTCAGTCAGTCAGTCACTCGATCCACCCTCCTCTCCCCTGCCCCGTCCCACCCTTTCTCTCCGGCCCCCTGGCCCCCATTCTTTATACTCGAGAGACCCATTGCAACTTTAAGCGCCTCGCATTACGAGCGTTCGGCTCGTTCCTCTCGGGTTCGGGGATCGCCCGAAGCTGTTCCCTTCTTTCTGCTCTTAATTTAGCCTCCCCTACGGCCACGAGCTCTGGCCACCACCCCCTGCTTGTCCCTGGAGCCGCTGTTGGAATTCATTTCGGATGTTTATCCGCCGCCGCCGATCCTCGCCCACCGATCGACGGACATCTCGGGATCCAGTAGCTGCGGGCGACATCGAGGCGGTCGGGATTGGGGTTTTGGGGTTGGTTCGCAAGCCGGCAAAGGGTTAGTCGCCGGTGATTAATCGGCATCCGCGGCTCTCCCGGCACGCAGACGGGACCGTAACCGGAGAGCGTATCGTGTTCCGCCTCCTCCCTTTTGCTCCTTAATTGGGACACTCGCGAGCACTAATTACGTCTTACGATCACGCTTATCTATCTCTCTCGGGAGAGCTCGACTTCGGACAGAACCTGTGGGAAGTATTGAAAATTTGGGAAACCTTTCAGGTGGCAACAGTGATTCGTCGGTGACATTCGCAGTGAGAGATGAATCTTCGATGTTTCACCCGAATGCATCACGAATTCGCGTTATTCCTAGGCTTTAACATAGTCAGCATCGCCTCTAATTAACTGAATTCTAATACCGATTCTACGAACACCCGAAGAAAGTACTGGCAATTTGAAAACGCTTCTTCCAGAAGATACCAGCAATCTTGTCCATCGCCGATATTTGTCACTAGA